TATATATATATATATATATATATATTGATGAGTAGTATTTTTAAAAAAAATAATTGACTATAAGGCTACGAAGATTTTTAATCAATTAAAAGTATTAATTAAGAAAATAGAATAAAAATTATTAAATTAGATTCAAATGATGTTTTAATATAAATAATAATTTCTAAATATTGTCCCAACCCTTAACATCTTATGGCTTCATGATTAGGGTTGTCAAAACAATTATTTGTTTGTGAAAAACTCATGGATTATATCCAAATATTATTTGTTAAGTAAACGAGTCGAACACGAACACACTTTTTGAGCGTGAAATATTAACGAGTCGGACACGAGCTAAGCTTATGCTCGGCAGTGTTCGACCCCTATTCACCAAGTATAACTCTAATTTTTCATTTTGTACATCAAAAAGATATATGTACTCACCTTAAAGAGATCTAATGCTATAAAAGAGAATGAGTACGATGAAATCCTACCCACTATCAAGATATTGTGAACCTGCCTGATGGAATGAGCAAAGTCAAACGGGCAAGCCAATAGGCAAAAATCAATCAAAACACAAGACGGATAAAAAGACCACCGAATGATTAAAGCAGGAGTCATCATACCGAAAATGAGAAAGAAGAGTATTGAAGCTGAATATTGCAATAAAACTGACTTGATGTGATAGCTTACCCCCTATTAGAGTTAATCCAAAAGAAGATTTTGTTTTACATAGTATCTCTGACCAACCCATGTAGACTCTAATGACTCCTTATCAAAAGAAGATAGTGAACCTGTTTGGATCAACCAACCAAACTTTGCCGACTAACCTTAGCTAACCGAGCTGACCACGTTGACCCCACATCAACTAAGCTTAATTAATTGAGTCAAAAAGCAATCGGATGATAAACTCAAACTTGTTAAATACTAGAAATATGCGAGTATGGACTCTATCCAAATATGGAAAAAATGTAATATTATCATTATCTTATCTCCCATATAAATAAGAAAAATATTTTATGAAGAAGACACTATTCATATCTCCTTATTTTACATTGAACACTATAGGAAAGATATTAATTAGAGTTGATTTTTGCATGAGAAAATTTCCGACAAAAACTTTGGCATCAAATGTGCGTGTCTTCCGTACAAACTGATTATGGATGACCTTTATTCATTATGACGACGCAAACCATTTGGGTCGAAAAATTTTCAACGCAATATAATTTCTTAATAGCATGGATTGGTCAGAGGTGTAGTCGACCCTAACTAATTGGGTCGGCAAACACTGACACAAATCCGTCAGAGTTTTCACTTGAGATTTAACGGTTTCGACTAGTATTCTTCCTCTCCAAGCTCCCCCTTCTTTACTTTTTTGGTTTTCTATGATCTTTATGCAAAAATTGAAGTTTATGTGTTTGATATGTAATTTATAAGACTTGTGTGATTTGAATGTAAAAATTGAAGATCATAAGTTAAAGATATAATACATATGAATTGTGTGATTCGTATGTAAAAAATGAAGTTTGGCTGTTACATACGTAATACATAAGAATTGAGTTGAATTTATGTGGTAAAAATTGAAGTTTGGGTGTTAGATATGTAATACATTTGAACTTAGTGGAATATATGCACAAGTTAAAGTCTAGTTGTTAAGATATGGAGTACATAAGAATTGTGTGGTTTGTATGTAAAAATAGAAGTTTATGTGTTAGATATGTAATGTATAAGAATTGAGTAGGATGCTTGTAAAAATTAAAGTTTAGGTGTTCGATATGTAATATGTACGAATTGTATGGTTTGCACGTAAAAATTAAATTTTAGGTGTTAACTACATAATACATAAGAATTGTGTGGTTTGTATGTAAAAAATGAAGTTTAAGAGTTAGATATGTAATATATTAAAATCGAGTGGAATGTTGTAAAATTGAAGCTTGGATCTCACATATTTAGTAATTAAGAATTAAATAGATGTATGTAAAGAATTGAAGTTTCGATTTTAGACATGTAATATGTAAGAATTGTATGGTTTGTAAGTAAAAAATTGAAGTTTAGGTGTTAGATGTGTGATACATAAGAATTGTGTGTCACAAATAAAAGTTTTAAGTGTTAGAAATGTAATAGAGAAATTCATGCAAGCGACATCATAGCTCCTCATTTACCTTTCTAAAGGTAAGTTTTGATACTCTTATGCAAAATAAAAAAAACAATCATACCTAACACATGATGAAGTCAAGTTGATTTTGTACCATCATGGATTTCAACCTAATTATTGGTAATGGCTTGCACATGGTGAGCATGAACTAGATGTTTAGTATAATCATTTTATCGTTTCATCAAGTTCTACCTCTCCAATGAGATATGATCCTGAAACATATAAAACAATAAGTTTTTAAGCCAATAGAGCTCATTTTGTTGGGAAAGTTATTGATGATAATCAAACATCGACCAATGAACTATAAAAAATCTATAATTTATTGAATGCTACACAATAGCCTTTGTGAGAAGATTGCACTATGCTTTCAGAGTTATCAATAGAGCTGACAATATTGTGCATTAAATTTGATTATAACGTACACAGTTAATAATTTAATTATGTTGCAATATTAATAAATGAGACGAACCCTATGGAAAATTTAGTTTTAAAGAGCCTTCGAACAAAAAAATTAATGTTTAAGTTAGGGTTAATATCTAAGAAGATAAATTATTGTGCTAATGGTTGCATGTTACATTAAAAAACTAATGCAATAAAGAAGAAATGTAAATTTTGTGATGATTAGAGATTCAAATCGAGGGGGCGAAAAAAAAAATATTCAAAAAAATAGCACATAAAAATAAATATTTTACTTATCGTTTATACCCGTACTTAAAAGATTATTTGCTTCTATGCATACAACTTCTCACATGACACTGCACAATACTAAATCTGTTAATACTAATTCATTGAGTCATTCATCAGATAGGGGAAACCTAAAGACACTTCAATCATATTTATCTTGACTTTCCAGATGAATGACTTAATATTAAGCTTGACTTATGTGCAGATAGGTTCACACCATACAATCACCACACAATAGCCTACTAATGTTGGATAATGACATTACTTCATACTTAAATATTTTATGAATTTCTCGAGGCAAAATTATAAGTGATTTTAATGAAACCCACTTCTTCAATTTAATAAATTTAATTTTTGAAATATATAGTATTACTTTATGACAAGTAACATTTAAGTTTGGAAGATTTTGATATCCCTAAAAGCATGTTAAATGTTATTCATATTTAACAAATAAAACACAAGCAAGCACATAAAACTATTTGGATCTAGCACTATGTTGCAGAGCCAGGTCCCCATTCATATAGACTGTGTTCCAGTTTTTTTATTTATTTATTTAGCATCTATAGAAAAGTATATCAATTTTATTGATGATTTAGTGGCTACCCAATGGAGAACAATCTCTGATATTTCAAAGAGGTTTGTATTTTGTTAGTTAAATATTTTTTAAATCTCTTGAATTTATGTCTGAAAGTTTTCTTTGCTATGAAACATGTTTTATGAAGGCTTTGTGATTTTTTTTAAAATTTTTATTTTTGTGTAACTATTTAAATTTTTAATATATTTTTCAATTACAAATTCATAATAAATCCAAATAAATTTCAAATACTATGAAATTCTATAGAGACACCTTGAATTAGATTCTAAATAAGCTCTAAAAGCTTCAAGATATTATAAATTCACATGAATTTTCTATGAATTAAGTGATTTATTTAATCTTTATTTATTATTATTTTTTTATTTTTAATCAAATTTACTTGATTTTGAATTTTTTTTTGTCTTTTATTTGTTGAAATATTCAATTGGTTAGAATTTAGGGTCATGTTTAAATTGAATGGACATATTTGCCATTTTTGAAGTTACATATTTACTCATATTTTCATTAAATTTGCATGTTTATCATATTTCTTTTGTTGAGATAATCATTTTGTGAGACTTTAAGTTGACTTTGGCTTCATATGATTAAGTTTGGTTGGTTTTAAAATAAAAGGTACATTTGTAATTTTTAAATTTTATAAATATATCCAAAGTTGTTTAAATGTCAAATTATCTCATAAGAATATGATTTAATTCATTCTTATTATTTGTGAATATCAACTCAAATTGAATTGAGCTAATCGACCTAATCCGATCTAAGCCACTCATTATCACGAGAAAATATTAGGTCAGGACTTCAGATCATTCGGAGTTCAATAAAAAAACACTACTTATAAGATGAACCCATCACAATACACTATGATCACTTTAATATTTTCTCCATTATCATTTAAATTCGAGCCATACTCCGCCCCCTTCACTCTCTCAGTTCCGACACTTCTACCGAACAATCCTAAATGCCTACCCTCTTCGCCGGTGTATCCCGGCGCCGGCGAATCCTCCCTGCTGCGATCACTCTCCTTGTAGCATTCAACCCCGTCATCGCCTTCCAGTACAAAGTCGGCGATCTCGATTCATGGGGCATTCCCCCTCCTTCCCTCCCTAACCTCTACGCCCACTGGGTTCTCAACCACCATTTTCACATGGGCGATTCTCTCCGTAAGTCTTCTACCACTTCCCCAACTTTGGATTACCCAGATCTACTCACTTATCCTTTTCTGCTTCATGTAAGTCTTCCTCTACCCGCCGAGTCAGGACAACGTGGTTCAGGTCACGGAAAGGGCTTTCAATGCCTGCAATGTGACGGATCCGATCTTGAAAATGGAGGATGGAAACTCGATTTTTAATCTCAGCACTCCGGGAACGTTCTACTTCACGAGCGGCGTTTCGGGGCATTGTGATAAGCGGCAGAAACTACAGATCGCTGTTCCGGATGCGAATGGAACATACTTCCAGCCGACGAATGGGCCGGCGGCAGAGGCTGAAGGACCGGCGGCGTTCCCGTTGGTGTTTGGACCGACGCCGGGTGGGAGTTCTGCTGCGCCGGAGCGTTTGTCGGTCTCTCTCGCCGGCAGGTTTGCTGTGGCCATTGCTACTTTCTGCTGCTTATTTCGAATGGTGTGATTGGGATGGTATGTGGATCTGTATCGATTCGGTATATTTCTGGGTTTTCTTTATTCATTTTTTCAGCGAGGTTATTTTGATATAGTATTTAAAATTTTTTCTTTTGACTTATTTTACATCTAAATATTCATATGTTCTAAAGTGTAATGGTGCATGTGCATCTTAACGATTGGGAAACTTTGGGATTAAGGTGGTCTCTTGTTGGATCTATGAGATTAGAGATCCTTAGAGTAATTATGTAATTGCTCCTTTTTTTAATATTTAATTTTGTTGGCTCAATATACTCAGCCAAATGGGTTCATATCAGGTTTATGAGAGTGAGAGTGAGAGTGAGAGTGAGAGTGAGAGAGAGAGAGTGAGAGAGAGAGAGAGAGAGAGAGAGAGAGAGAGAGAGAGGTTTTAAAAATTACCCTTTGAACACTTATGGATTAGAATTTTAAAATTACAGGAAAATAACTTTTAATCTATATAACAAAATACAATAGGACATTTAAGGAGTGGGGCTTAAAGTACCTAAAAATGTCATTTTTAGGAAAAATTATTGTGTTCGGAGTCTGGACTTAAGCCTTGTCGACAACCGACTCGATGCATGGAGGAAGCTGCATAGGACGCAATATTTTCTCCAGTTTTAGAGCATGTTTTGTTTCTCTCTTAGGGTTTTCTTTCGTTGGTCGCGCTTCTCGCATGTTATGGTGGATTATACAAGTGGCATTGATATGTTGGATTTACTTTATCCGTTCGAGATTTTATCACGATACTACACTTCTAGCATTTCCATTTTATGAGATATGAGGATTTCCATACATGACAAGACTCAACTATGTCATGGATGGGCTTCTCAATTTTATCATGAGTCTCTGTTATGTACAAATTATATAAGAATTAGTTGTTCCCTGAATCTATTTAACTTGCTGCTATTTCTGCCTGTTGGATGGATCTTGTCTTTTGCTTGAAGATTTCTGAGCTCAGTTCTGGTAAATTCATTAGTTTTTATATGTTGCTGTTATTGAAAGATGGTTATCAATGCTCTTGTCCTTCCTCTATGTTCTCTTGGTCTGTCTGTCGGCTGATTCTTTTGGCCAAGCTAGACAGCTTGGATGGGGTCTTATCTTTTGCAAAAAAAGATTTTTAAGCTTTAAATTTTTTATTGTGTATTCTCTTCATTTTGGATGCCAATGCTTTATGTCTTCACTCCAACTGTGTTTACTGGATGAATTTACCTCGAGGTGGCTTTTGGAGCATGGATTTGACTGATTTTTCTTTCTATAATTATTATTTTTTCTTATACCTTCATCTTTATACTCGCCATATTTTTTGTTTATTCTCTTCATTTTCCTATATGAGTGAAGTTGGGTGTAGCACCCAATTTTCCCAAAAAGAACATTTTACATAAAATTTATATGAAGTTGGCAACTTGCTAGATCAATTTTTTGACTTGGCAGAAATTGCGTCCTATTGGATGAAGTTGATAGTTTGTGAGGTGAAGATGCCAGATGGATAGTTTTGTTTATGAAGTTGGCAACTTGCTAGATGAATTTTTTGACTTGGCAGAAATTTCATCCTATTGGATGTAGTTGATAGTTTGTGAGGTGAAGACGCCAGACGGATAGTTTTTTTATGAAGCTGGCAACTTGCTAGATGAATTTTTTGACTTGGCAGAAATTTCATCTTATTGGATGAAGGGTGAAGGTGTCAGATTATTAGATAAATAACTAACTTGTTGGGTGAAGTTGTCGATATATTGGGTGAAATCATTGACTTGTTGAATCAAATCGCCGACTTGGGTGAAATCATTAGCTTGCTGCATGAGATTGCTAACTTTTTAGGTGAAGCCGCCACCTTGCTCGATAAAGTTGTTGAATTATTTGAATGACTTGCGAGCCTGTCGGCTTTGTGTTTAGGCGAGTTCACCTTGGATCAATCGTATTCTAACATGTTCAACATACTTTGAGTGAGCTCTCTATAGCTTTAATAATATTAATTTAATTTGCAATGCTCCGGGCGAGCTCTCTATATAACACAGACTTATTTGAATGATTTCCAAGTGAGTATACTTTGCATTTAGGCGAGTATGCCTGGGACTAATAATGTTCTAACAATTTCAAGATGCTTTGGGCGAGTTCACTATAAATTTGACAATATTAAGTGTTGGCATCATTTTTGTGAATAATGTGTGGATCATATGTTTAACATCTTGGGTTTTATGCCGCTTTTATGTGAAGTATATAGCTCAAAGCATTTCTAAGTCCCATTCTATCGGAAGACTCCACAATCTCCAAGTCCCATACGCTTTTGACAATGTTAATTGTTGGATCAATCAGTGATGCACACTCCTGTCTGTCTCCTCACCTCTAATAGCGACAACGAGTTGGAAGACTTTGCAATCTCCTCTACTCTCTGCTTCTTTGTCACTGCCTGGTTCATCAAATTGGACACCTCAAGCTTGGACACCTCAAGCATGGTCCCTTCAGGAAGCCTGATTATAGAGAATGGGACTAGAAGCAGGAAGCCTGAAGGGCCCTCATCAGTGCTTCCTCCACAGATTTTTTAGCCCTCAACATCCTCTTCCTTTGCTACAAACGACTGAAAGGCAATATAATTCTGGAAATGAAGAAGGAAAGAGATGATCGTGCCCTATTTATAGAGAAGAGCGGCGTGAAGATTCAGGGAGTGCAATTATTAGCGGTACTTATGACTTATTAAATAAGCAATTATTTGATTTAATTCTCTTTTTCTTATGACAATTATCACTTTCAAAGTAGTAAGAGAATAGCGAACTATGTATGTGCATCAAAATGTGATTGTACGAATCATGAGGAGATTCAACGGGTTGCTGAAGAAAGCATCATTTGAACCAAAGAACGTCACGCACTTAAGACCAACGACAACTGATGTAAAGGCATGCACAAGATCAACGATCACTTAGCAAAACTCTCACCCTATCTTCTATGAAGATTTATCGATCGAAGGAAGCTTGCCTATCAGCTTATCGTGATGCACCATTTCCCTAATGGAATAACCCTTTCTAAGGACAACAAGTCTTCATGATGGAATCCCTCAGAAAGTCGATCGAAAATTTGTCTGACAACTGAATGACTTGTCAATCGAGCGAAGATCATACAACCAAGTCGAGGAGATATGAACATGAAACGGTGCCAGTGGTAGCTATAAATGAAAAGACACCAACATCGGTTGTCAAGGTCAAAAGATGTCAAAGTCACTTACAAATATGTAAGGTGTAATGACTCATAAATTTATTGTAACATTCCCTTTAAGTGAGGGATAATGATACAATTTACTAGATACCCCATACGATATACAAATAGGGGGGTCATTTTCTCGAAAAAAAACTAATGAATCTATTCCCAGAGATTTGACATTACTTGTGACTTGCTCTTTCTCCTACTTCTCATTTCTCTCATTCGATTAACACACTATTCCTTGGGCGCGACCCGAATGACATTTTGATATTCAACAATAAGAAAACATTTACATGCACATCACTTAATTTTCATTTATTTACAAAAAAAAAAAAATGGTATGTATAAAGTCGCTTGTCGATTATATTGATTTAAAATATCAAATTTCAAAACATGTTCTTTTTTTTTTCCCTTTAATTTAGTCATTTGAAGTTGAAAGGTTGTTTTATCACTACACTTTTCGTTAATGTGCGGATAATATACTAACTAAATTTGCTAGGGTGGACGAACGATATATGCCTAATATTAACATGCAAGGAGTTATAATCGTCGATATTCTAAATAACTAAATTTGACATCAAAGTCATTTAAAATTACAAAGAAAATCATAAAAGATTACAATCAATCTAATTTGATTTTAAAATTTGCCAGCCATCAAACTCAATAAAAACCCCATTTACTTACCTGTCATTGATCGAGTTGTGATTGTGGATGTTATCGAGGGCAATGACCTCTATCATTTCATGAGGAAGAAGTCAGTGTGAGCTGATGTCAAACATTTTGCCTATTATGAATGCTCGTATTTACAATAACGTAGATGCTTATTGTTGACCCAGTGGTCGAAATTTGTCATTCACTTATGTATAACATATCTTTTAATTTTTTTTTTATTGTTGAATCTGAGATTGTCCTGTGAATCACGCAAAAGAAATAGAATGTATGTCATGAGAGAAACACAGAGGTATTGAGAGAGAGAGAGAGAGAGAGAGAGAGAGAGAGAGAGAGAGAGAGAGAGAGAGAGAGAGAGAGAGAGAGAGAGAGAGAGAGAGAGAGAGAGAGAGAGAGAG